CTTCCACAGAAGGCTGTATTAAATGTGATTCCGTGTGAGAGTGATGGAAGCTCTGTAGCATCAGATGAAACCATCATACTTCCCCATGCAATGACCCCACAGAGAGTTGATAGATGGCCCACAGTTTTTTCCAGTGCCCACTTTTTCATATGAGGTGGAGCTTATACTTGGAGAAGGAAATGTTGCATTTGAGAGAACTGGGAAAACTCTGAAATTGGTAAAGGGCCAAAAACACAACATCCTTGACACCCTTGCAGGTAAAATGCATGCTTTTAAAGCATATCCCACTGATAGGGAATTTTCAGAGGTCGCCCCGCGACCCCATGAGGGAATAAGCGGTATTGATAATGGATGGATGGATGGCATAAGCATTTGTGACTAAACATCCGTGTCTAAAAGAGCCAGGATCTCAGACAGGATGGTACGGGTAGAAAAACAGTTTAAAGTTTAAAATGGGGAACTATGAACAAATTTGAGTCAAGCTGGATTTAGCTTGAGATGCTTGAGATTTTCTGTTGTTTGTTTAGTTCTGTATTCATTATATATGTGGCACATATACTAAGGCATTAAACAGTCCTTTTGTGTTTACACAGATTTGTTCAGAGTTCCACAGGATCACGAACATCAACCTGAAAAACAATTTCTATGCTGTGGAGTCTCCAGAAATAGATCTTCATGACATACCAGTTGGCATCATTTTGAACTCTGCCAACTCAATTGATCCCACATTCCTCGTCCCAGATACGGTTGAAGTTGTCATTGAGGGTAATGTAGTGATGACCATGCCCACACTCGCTGATGGATATATTGTCCTTTTTGGCCTGATTTATGCACTACATTTAGATTACCTAAAAGAATTAGTCAATACTTCTGACTTCATTCAGAAGGTCTTAATGGGCCTGGAAGATGGAAAGTTTGAGACCCAGAGTGTTGAGCCTGAAAAATGAACTTTTGGCACGGGAGGAATCTGGCTTTTGTTAACAAAGTTTCTTGAGCAACATATCAGGCACACACAACTAAAACAACTTAATGTTTTGACAGTATTATTGTTCACCTCCAACTCAATGTTTGCTAGTTCATCTTAAAAATTGTATTAGTATGGATACAGTGTCATGCCATGCGTTTTTAGGCATATTTGTTTTTTTGGGGCAGTTTTTGAAAATACTCTTTTGTGATGCTTGTTTGTTTGTACTGGAAGTTGTTACTGAAGTAAAGAGTTTTATATCTTTGCTCTTATGTGATTTTGACATATGATAATGTGATGCAGTGCTTTAAATTGACTACATTAAAATGAGCTGTAATTTTTATTAGTAAAGTTGGACATGTATAACAGGTTCCTTTTAATGT